AGGTGGGTCTCGAACCCACGGGCTCAGGCAGTCCACTCACCTCAGCCTCCCAAGGCGCGGGATTACAGGCTGAGGTGAGTTAGCCTTTCCAACTTGGAAAACAAGATTTCAGGAGTTCTGTCAGCTGCCTCTGTCCCCGAGTTTTCGTATGTGTTTGTATTGTTTGTTCACGAATTCACCCACCAGTCATGCAATGAGCACCTTCTAGGAACCAGGCTCTGTGCCAGGCATGAGATATGATGCAGGACCAGACAGGCACATTCCAGACCCCCATGGAGCCCGCTGGGGGAGACAATTAAACATGCAGTTGCAGCCCATGGAGGAGGGGCTGTGGGGAGAAGGGGGTATGGGGCCAAGGCACATGCAGATGTTGGACAAGTGACAGGTAGGCTGACACATGGAGGCCCAGTACATGTGCTTGCTAGGGGTGGGAAGCAGAAGTGTCCAAGGCAGAGGACCAGGGCTGGGCACAAAGCCTGGGGCAAGAGAGAAGGTGGTGCATCTAAAACACTGAGGCTCAGGCTGGTTGGGATGTTGAGTGACAGAGGGAAGGAGAGGTGGGAGGGGATGGTGGGGGAGAGGGACAGCAGCTCATGACAGAGCTGTGGGCAGAGTTGAGGACAGTGACCTTTAGATAGGGTAGGGACATGACTGCACTTTGCATTTTAGAAAGATGACTTTGATGGCAGGAGGATGGGGGAAGGCGTCACTGGGGGCACAGTGGCATCCTAGCTTGAGACATGGTCAGGGACTGGAGAGGAGTCACAGAATTGGCCGCGTCCTGTTCCTGCCTTCCCTCCCCTTCTCTCGGCTTCAGGTGTCTGACTCCCCTTCTCTGCTCTGCCAGGTAACTACACCTCCCGGGTCTGGGAATATTCCTCCACCATCCAGAACTCTGACAACGACCTACCTGCTGTCCAGGGCAGCTCCTCCTTCTCCCTGAAAGGTGAGCTTCTCCCCTCACTCCTTGCTACTTCCCCCCAACCTTTGTGCCAGCTCCTCCCTCCCTCAAGAGGAGAGCGCCCTGGCCTGAGAGCCCAGGAGATGCCGCCATGGTCTCGGCTGTAAAGGAGGCCAGGGTGGGGCTGGACCACATCAGCATTCCTTGGGGGTGGTTTCACCATACACTAGTTCCTAATGATGCCCAGGTCTCAGTGGGCAGGAAGGTGGGACATGCCACACCCACGGCACCCCCCACCTCCTAGATCTCTCAGGTTCACCTTCTGGGGGTCTCTGTACTGCAGAGAGTTTATTGAACTCCTAGTTGACTCTAGAACCTTGTGGCCACGTGGTGCCTGCCCAGATCCCACAGAGCCACATTCCTGCAGAAATCCCTTTGGAAAAGGCAGGACTGGGTGACCTCCAAGGTCCTCCAAGTCTGATCCTTCTTTCTACACCCTGTCCTCACCTGTCTGCTATGTCCCCAGCACTCTTTGGAAGGATGAGTGGTCAATGCCTCCTGTTCCCTGGGGTTGGGATCATCCTAACCATACCCCAGGCTCTCTCATCTCTCCCAGGGATAGCTCTGGTGGGAGAAACCCTTCCCTCTTCTAGAACCCAAGACATATAGCCTGGAAGACAGTATCAGCAGGTTGGGAGGGCCCGGGAGAGAGAGGAGGAAAGGCGTTATGCAGGGCAGACATACCCCTAGCAGTAGGCTTTGAGGGAGCTTTATCACCCATCCTGGGGCCTAGACTATACCCAGGGCCTGGATTCTTGGAGCTACCAGCAAGGTGAAGGAGAAGGGAATATGAGTAGAGGGTCCCAGCCTGCAGAACCCTTGGCGATGTCATCCCTAAGCCAAGCCTGGGGAGCTCTGGGACTTGTCTTGGCCTGTCTGGCTTTCAGCAGTTGCCTTCCTGCTCTCTGGGCAAGCCTGGACCAAAGGCTATGTGGCAGGCAAGGTGGCTTCCCTCGGATGTGATTTGGAGCTTTCACACTCCCCATCAGCCTGTGTAGACCCTCCCATGTTAGGTTTTGGAGTAGGAAAACTTCTTCTCAAACACACTCGACCCTGAAGGAAGGACCAGGCACGCCTATTCTGACCTGCATGTGTATCAACTCACCAGGCTGGCTTGGAATGGCCTTGGACAGGAGGTTCTGGACAGGGGATGCCCTGTATGGGAAGAGAACCCTCACCTGCGTGAACTGACCCCATGCGTACCCACTCCAGCAGCTCTGGTGGCAGAGTATCTTCAGGGCTGCCAGGGCCAGTCCCCAAGGCTGAGTGATGGCTGTGGAGAGAGGTGGCCCCAGAGTGAGGCATGAGTCCTTTTGGCCTCTTCTGGGACCAGCACCATGCCACTAATGCCTCTCTCTCTCCCTCCCAGCAGGCCCTAGGAAAACCCCCTATCAGTTCACCACCCTGGGACAGGCCACTGCAGAGTTTTCCAAACCACTGGACCGCAGTGGGCTGTTTAAAAACAATCCCGGTACCTGCCTGTGTTCCCATCCCTCCCCTTTCCTCTCCCACAGCGGGAAAGGTGGGACGTTCTATGGGGCTCTCTGCCACTTCTAGGGTGTCCTGGTCCCTCCTCCCCAGAGCTCCCTGGAAGAGGGATGCATGCCCTTCCTGCCACCCCTAGCTCACTCTCTGTCTGGACTTCTGCCTGCTGCATAAGGCTGGTCTCCTGGGTCACTCCAACCCCAACCCCAACCCCATCCCCATCCCCAACCCCATCCCCATCCCCCCCCATGGCTGGTATAGGATTTTCTTTTGGGGAACTGAGAGGTGCGGCCTGAATTCCCCCTCTCAATTTCCACTCGGGATCCATGGAATCCCATTTCCAAGGCTATCTTCACCCCCAGATGCAGGAAGAAGCCTGGGTTCTCCGCTCTGTCTCCTGCCCCTGCCCCTTTGCTCAGTGCCAACCTGGGAAGGGCCAGCCCAGCTGGCAGCCTGGCAGTGCTCCGGACCCAATCTGGTCATTCTTACTTGGAGCAGGGCAAGACAGGGACTTCCCTAAGGCAGGCTGCAGCCTCACTGGATAGGACTCTGGTCCAGGACAAACCTGTTTATTTCCTAAGTTCCCTGTGTCCGCATCATGGCCTATTTCTTCCCAGGTACCACTGCCTGTCCCTGTAGGCTCATGGCTGACACCGAGTGCTTTTTGCTGTTCTGCGTACCAGAGCTCCTTAGAAAAGCCTCTGAGCTGAGGGGCATGGGACATGGCAGCCCCACCCTCGCCCCATACCTTCACAACCGAGCCCAGAGAATGCCTTCTGCTCTGGGCTGCTCGGGCTTGCCATCCCAACCACACTGGCAAATTTGTGCTCTTCTCTGGGTCCCAGTCTCTGACTGGTGAAATGGGAGAGGCAGTGGAGTCAGGCAGAAGAAACATGAATATGAGTATTTGAGTCCGGCAAAACAAGTTTTTGAATCCTGACTGCTACTCATAAGCTGTGTGACTCGGGCAAACCGCTGGGCTCACAGAGGCGGGGGCTGGGCTGGATGAGGAGATGGATGCACAGTCCCCCCAGCACAGTGCTTGGCACGAATGGGGCTCAGTGAAGGCGGAACATTGTCCAACCTGCATGGGGGTGTGGAAGTGAGTGCCTCCTGCCCGGAAGTCCTAGAGGTTGCGTTTAGCAAAAGAAACTCCTGGGCTCCAGGGAGAGGGGAGCCCATGGTATGAACCTTCAGGGAGGGTGCGTGGAAGTCCCCACAGAACAGTGTGATGTGGACCCAGATTTGGAGATGACACTCCTTGGCTGGCTGCCTGGCCCAGCCCACCTGGCCAGCTCCTCCTCCTCCTGTCTGCCTCGCTGCTTCCCAGGATTTTCCATTGCATTGTGGCACTGGCCTCTTCAAGTGGCTACGTTTGGTAATGGGCTGGATGATACTTGGTGGCCACTCTGGAGCAGGCAGCCATGCTGCTCCAGTCCTGTGGGCCCCTGATCACCTGCTGGTGCTCCCTCTGACCGGAGTTTCTTGTCTTCTCAGGCTATCCCTCCCTCATGCGGAGCCAGACCCCCAAGGCCCAACCCCAGACTTGGAAATCGGGCAAGCAGACTTTGCTGGTGAGTGGGGTACTGCTAGGAGCATCCGCCTAGGCACAGGCAGATCCAGAGACCTGAGCACTGAAGGGCCTTCCAGGGGCAACCAGTCTTCACATGCCCAGAGCCTGTGGGAGGATAATGACATCTCTGGGCCATGGGGTGGAGGGAGGAGGCAGCAGTGGCCTGAGTATTTGCATACAACAACGGTAGTAGAGACCTAGGGCTAACAGGCAGGAGGCCTGGCTGAACATACACTCCCTGGGCCTCAGTTTTCTAATCTGTAAAGTGGGCAGCCCTGGTTTTTTCAGTTGGTAAATGGTTGTTGGTGTCCATGCTTGTGGAGTGACAGCTTGGTTTCTACCAGCTCTGGGCTGTAAAACACTCAGTCCAGTGGACAGGTATGCTAGAGATGGGCCCCACCTCTCTGGGGCAGTTCCCCAGCTCTTGACAGCATAGATGCCATTACAGTGATGATATGGGGGTGGAAGGCTGGACAGTTAGGGATAGATATATTTAGGGTTCGATGTCTAATGGCCCTAAGCCAGGGGCACGAGAAGGCAGCATGACAGGGAAGTGTGGCCTTGGGGTTCAGACCATCTGCTGCCTGTGGGATCCTGGATGAGTCAGATGCCCTCCCTGGGACTCTGTCTTTTGCTTTTTTAATATGAGTGCTGAGATGACCCCTAATGCCCTTTAGACTTGACATGCCCGACCTCTGCCCAAGACCTACTGATCAGGGCCTGTCGTTTACATGCTGAGCCTGCCGGAAGGCCTGTCCTGGGCCCTGATGAGAGAGCTCTGGCATGTGGGTGGCATCAGGGACTCTGCTGGAATGGGGGCTGGAGCCCCTGGCTCTCACTGTCTTTGCATTTGGAGGTCAAAGCGTGGGGAGGCGATTTGCTCTGGACCACATAGCGGCTGGGGCTGGTTTAATTGGAGAGAATCTTTAATTTGCTGGCGAGGGGAGCTAAGGGATTGTGTGTGTAATTTGGAGCCGGGCCCAGGGGCACTGCAACAGCAGGACTGCAGAAAGCAGATATGGGGAGAAAAAAGATTTCTGTTCCTAGATTTGGTCCTTCCTTTCCCTACCACATGCTTTTCCACCCTCCCAGAGCCTGGGTCCCCGAAGAGAAGGCTCATCAGAGCCATAAGACCCATGGAAGAAAGGGTCCTGATGTCCAGCCAGCACCCACCACTGGGAGAATGGGGGCAGGTGCTGGTGAACAGAGAGGCTGGCCTGGGAGTCAGGAAGGTGGGGTTGGCCTCAGCCTTCTCACTCACTTGCTGTGTAAAAGCCGATGTGAGTCATTCTTCCTCTGTGTCTCAGTTCCCCTATCTGTAACATAAACCGAATGACCTGGATGATTTCAGAGTCCTTCTAACTCTCATGTGCTGTGACTCTGAGCCAGAAAGGAGACAGGAGGGTGAGGGAGTACCCTATCAGGATGTCGTGGGGCCATGTTCCTACCCACCCACCATCCAGGTTCTTAACCAAACGGCACCATTCACCAACCTGCAGTCCCTATTGCTGACCTGGCCTTCCTGAAAGAAAGGCTTCAACTGCTTCCACATCTCATGGATTCTGCCTTACAGACTGCTCTGGGGTCCAGGCTAGGCTCCCGGGGATCAGGAGACCTAGCTCCTTGCCCTGCTCTGCCATGGAGTACTGCATGACTTTGTCTTCTAAGTCCTTTTCCCTCCTCGAGTCTAGTCTCTTCCTTTGTTTAGTACTTGGTTAACCAAGTCTGAGCTAAGGACCTTCAGCCCTGGCATTCCACGGGCCCCCTGAACCCTGCTGTGGACCAGATGTAAGCAAAGAGCTGGCCAGGAGATGCACATTCCCCAGCAGACAGGGCCAAGGGCTGGGGCTGCGAACACCTTGGGTGGGTGTGTGTGGTGTGGGGATGGTGTTTCCCATTTGAGGGCTCCTTGGGGTGTGGGGCTGGGCTCAGTCTCTGACCCCGCTCAGGGGTAAGTCCACTCCCTGGGACCCTCCAGGGGCTGATGGTGCCCGCCCAGGCAGGTCGCAGCTAAATTCTGCTCTTCCACTCCAGCCTGAAAGGCTGCCTTCTCAGGGCCCCCAGGAAGAGATGGGGGAGGGGTGCTGATTTTGTGAAATTCCTGGGAGATGTGAGACACAGAGAAGCCTGGGAGAGTTGTTACTGAATACCAAGGGAGGCAGGCTGAGGGAGGAATGGGGCTGGGGAGAGCCTGGAGCCACATTGGTAGGGCAGTTGTTTGCCCTCTCTGCACCCCTTCTGTCAGGGAGAATTACTGAGAGAAGCAAACACAGGAAGCCCTTGCAACGTGAGAAGTGATGCCAAGACACAAGACGCAGGGGTGTTGGGGGTGTGACCTTTGGAGCCAGCCTGCTGGGCCAGGATTCCTGCCCTCTACTTACCAGCTGAGTGACCTTGGGCAGGCTGCCTGGCCTCTCTGTGCCTTGATTTGTTCAACTATAAAATGGATATGATAATAGTAATCCATTTAATTGGGTGGTTGTAAAAATTAAATGAGTCCATCCATCTAAAGCTCTTGGCACAGTGCTATGAAGTTCTGAAGGGTAGAAAGTGCTGGATAAATGGTAGCTATGGTAGCACTGGGAGGGCATTCCCGGGCCGTGGAAAGTTGGACCAGTCTGATGGGGAGCTGAAGTTCAAGTTCACCAAGAAACTGCTGGGCATGAACTCTAATTGGGACTCGAACCTGGAGGTTCTGATAACATTAGGGCCCAACCCCTGACCACAGGATGGATAGATCTTGTGGGTCAGACCACAAGGCCCCTAGAATTGTTGGAATTTGGATCTCTGCTGCCTCCTGGGGGGATGTTGGGGTAGGCTGGGCTCAGCTGCCACCTGGCCTCCCTAACCACTCTCGTTTCCCCCTGCAGTCTCACTACCGGCCGTTCTACGTCAACAAAGGCAACGGGATCGGCTCCAATGAGGCCCCATGAGCCCTGGGCAGGCAGAACAAGGCGCCACAGCCCCACCCTCCCTACTGATCCTGCTGCTCATGCCTTCTAAGCTACCGTGCTCATCTGGGTGGGAGGGAGCCTGCCCCTGCGCTGCTCACCCAGCCCCCCCACCAGTCTCTCAGGGCCCTGGCCTGCTGTCTCCAGACCTGTTGACTCTTTCTTCCCAAGACCCCCTCCCCTGAGGCCTGGCCAGGTCGACTGCCCACGTCCCACCCTCCTAGCCCCACCTCCTGCCTCCCAGAAGCCTGGCTCTACCAACAGGCAGGGCCTGCGGGTCCTCTCTGGTCCTACCTATCAACGCCTGGCCGGCCTGGCAGGACCTGCAGCCTGTGGCCACCACAGAGGGAAGCCTCCCGGGCCATGGGTCTCCATCACATCTGCTTGTGCTCCCTGGCAGGCAGGCTCTCCTGGCTGGCAGGATGATGTTAGCCGAGATGCTTCTTTTTTCCACCTGCCGGGAGAAGCTATTCAGAGTGACATAATCCACCCATGAAAATAGCGACTGGCCCACCACCCTGAGGAAGATGCTATTGACCTACAGAATTTCACGAATTTTGTAATGAAATTATGCATGGCATTCTTCCTGACAGTGGAAGGAGCGGCTGGGCTGGTAACAGCAGGTGTATTTACAAGGGTGCCTTCCACACTGCCCCACCCTCAGCTGCTGCCCTGTCCCTCTGACTATCCTCCACATTGCATGACACAGGACCCAGGGCTTGGAGGGGAGACCCAACTAGGAGTGGTGTGGTGGGGTCGCCCCTCCTCTCACCCCCATTCCGGGCCTATGGGGGCTATGGGTGGGTGGGCCAGCCTGCAGGGGTGGGGGAGGAGACCTTTAGCTTGGGCTTCCCCTCCAGAATAAACCATCAGTCATGTCTCTCATACTGAGTGAGCATTTCCCTGGGGTCCCCAGAGGGCCTGGCTAAAGTTCTTTTAAACACAGTTTTCCTCTGACATGTGTATGGGCAGGAGCCTGGGCTGGGGGGAGGCTGACCTTGGCTTGCAAGGAGCACATGGAAGAATGACAGTGGGGTGTGGGCCTGGAGTATGCTGGTCTGAGTGCTCAGATCTCTGAGTCCCGACTCTGGGCTGGGCTGGCAGGAGGAGGGGCCAGGACCTGTGTGGACCTGTAACCCAGCACACTCTGACACTCGCGCAGAGACTGGAGTGGAGCTGACCAGAGTTTTGAGACCTGAGGGACTTCTCGCTGGCAGGAGGGCCTGCTTGTCAGAGGCACCCACTGCTGAAGCTGGCGGGAGAGCCAGGGTACAGAGGGCAGTACTATCCTGGGCTTGGAGATGGAGTCTGGGGATGAGGCCTTCTAGTCCCTGAGAGCCCAGGGAGGTGCTGGTCAGGGAAGGCTTCCTGGAAGAGGTAAGTAAGCCAGGAGGAAGCGTGAGAGTAGAGAGGGAAGAAGGTGCAAAAAGCCGACACCCTTTTCCCTGGTGTAGTGGAGACAACCACGCCCCTCCGTTCTCACTGTCCTTCCTCACGCTGAGGACCAAACAATACCAGAGGAGCATTCCCCCACCCAAGTAAAAATCCTTAAATAATCTGGCTGCTGGTCCCTCTTTGGGGGTCCCTGCTGGGCCAGGGGAGCCGTGGGAGCCCAGCCAGTGGCCAGGCTTCCTGGGAGGGACTCCTGGGGATCAGAAAGGGAAGGGAGAAATGCAAAAGAAGAGAAAGAAGCAGGAGAGAGGAATGGAGGAAGGAAAGAGAGTAGGGGTTATGCATGTCTGTGGAAGACCCTTAGGGCTGTCAGGAGAGACCACCAAAGGTTGGACTGGCATACTTTGGCCACCTCAGGGCCTCCCTTGGCAGCTGGGACTGCAATGTCACTGGGATTGGCTGCTTCTCCCCCTAACCCCCTGCCCTGGGTGCTGGCTCCCCCAGGCAACGGCCTCTGAGGAGCGATCCCTTCTGGGTGTCCCAGCAGGTCTACCTCTGTGGGCGCCTGTGTCCTGCAGCCCCCCATTACTTGCTTGAGGACCTGCAGTCCCTGGAGTTGTGACCATTAGGAAAGCCACATATGTGGGCTCCAGAGATACCCAGGCTCCCGGAGCAGGGCTCTGGCCACGAGGGACTCCCGGTTCTCTGGGCCCTGCCCTAAGCCAGCCAGCTCCAGAGGAGAGGAGTGGATGGGAACCCTGGACTGGCTGAAGTTCCCAGGCCAGGGAAAGCTGTGGTGGACCGCCAGACCCTTGCCTGCCCTGGGCCCAGGCCTCACCAGGGGCTGCAACCTGCCTCATGGAGGCTGGCACGTGGGAAGTCAGGAAGACTGTGGTGTGGGAAGCCTGAGCCCTCTGCTGAGAGCTGGGGGGATGCCCCAGCATTGCGCTCCCCCGATCAGTCCCCACCAGTTCCATCATCCTCAGAGCTGTGATTATCAAGCAATCAAGGGAATCCTTTCTTCCTGGTTCTTGAGAAGGCCTCCCTCCACAGCATGAGTGAACACAGGATGACTGCAGGTCCTGAGGGGTTCAGGGGAAGGGAGAGAAAGGAGAGCAGTGAGGCTCCATCTCCTCTGGCATTTCTCTCAGACTCAGGGCATGGTCTTGGCCCATGCTCTCCTGATCCTGTCCCCACCAACCCTGGGCTCAGGCAGTCCTTGGCGTGATGTGGGTAGCCCACTGGCGGACAAGGGAGGAGGGAGACAGGGCCAGGGCTCAGCAGGGAGCTGGGTAGTTGGGGGACCTGAACCTTTTCCTGGCTGGGTCTGATCTTCCCCATCTACAAAATGAGGGGTTTTCACTGGATCATTTCTAGGGTTCCTTTCCAGTTCTAAAAGTCTGTGAGGTAAAGACCGCAGCAAGGAAGGTTGGAAGAGACAGGAAAACTGAGCCTGGCCTGAGCCTGGGGCTCCAGGTTCAGGGCTGGGTTGAGGCAGACAAGACTTCCAAATCCCCAAGGCTCCCTTACTCAACCCCTGCCGCCTCTCCCTTCCTGCAGACCCTGTCAGGGCCGTGGGTCCCTATAGGAGAAATCTTCCCTGGCCAGAAAGGAGGAAGGCTGGGGACCCTGGAGGCTTCTGAACTCTGGGCCTCAGGGCCCACGGGAACATGGACTCTGTGATATCAGGAGCCATTCCATTGTGCTTTCCTAGAGCAGTGCCTGGCACATGAACAGGCCTTGGAGGCCAAAAAGCAGTCGTCTGGGAAGAGGAGGTGGGAGAGGAAGGTGACAAAAACAAGGGGAGTTGGACAGACATCCCCTGAGGGCCAGAGGACAGTGTGTGGAGCTGGAGCCAGATTCGCGGACTTGGAACCCTGGTGAAGCCAGCGGCCAGCCGTGTGACGAGGGGTCAAGCTGCCCACCCTGTCTGAGCCTCAGTAGGGACATCTTACAGGGCTGTGGTGAGCGACAAAAGCTGTGTGCAGCAACAATGACAACACCCCAACCTGGCTTTTCCTGTCCTTTTAAGTCTTCTCTACTTGCTAGGGGGGGACAGGGTGAGACAGCTGCGTCCGGCCCCAGGACCGGCACACGGGCTCCTGTAGTTCCAGACTTTGGCCAGCAGGTGGCAACATTTCACCGCAGCTAATGGACCCCCTCCCCAACCCAGGCGGTCGGGACTGGGTCCCACGACCCTTCCACAATGAGAGCCCCTTTTCTCCCCTCCTTCCGCACGAACTAAGTAGACCTTTCTGTCCTCGACTGAGGAATGTGTGACCGTGATGGCAGTCCCACCGTCTGAGTAGGAGCAAGGGGCTTGCCGCTCACCCCACCAGACCCTGCCCAGACCGGCATGGAATTCTGCAGGAGGGGCAGGGAGAGGGTTCCCCGTGTGGGTACTGGCCGTGGGCTCCCTCTGCAGGCGGCTGGCCTGAGGAGCGGGGTGGGCGGGCCCAGCAGGCTCGATGCTGCAGCTCCTGAGAGGGCGTGAGTCTGGCAGGGCTCCATCCAAGGCAGCGCACTGGGTAAAGAGCAAGACAGACAGCCAGAGTCCTCGAAATCCAGGGTGAGGGTCCACTGAGGGACTGCGAAGTGCAGAGCCCCTGACTTCTGTCGTTCTCGGACGTCCCACTTGCGATGTGGGAATGTTTTCACCTTCCTCCTGATGGACCGCGCAGGTCAGAACGGTGATGGGTGGGGCCATGGGAATACCTGTCCAGAGGGGAGGGCGCCAGGAGGCCGACTCATGTCCTGTCCTCTTTGCCATCAAACCCTCAAAGCACCTCCCAAGAGTGACGCAGGCCAAGAGTTTTCTCTTTCTGAGTATTGATTATTAAGTTTGAAAGGGAACTGTTGTTTGCCACATAAACAAGGGAGATAAGCGCTAATTGTTTAGTGGCTGTGCCAACTCCTGGTTCCTAAGTCATCACCCTGCCAAGGCTCAGGCCAAGAGGAAACCCAGGGAGGGGGTGGGGGCGGGGCTGGGCCCCTAGGGGCCAAACAGACAGTGGACAGGTGAGCCAGGGACCCCCTCCCCAAGGGATGAGAATGGTGTCTGTAATCCCCAAGTCTCTCGGGGGGGGGGGGCC